ACACACACACACACACACACACACACAATGCAAATATAAAATCTGCCACTTAGCTGATTGGTGTTAGCTTCAGCATCCCAACTCTAGAGTTTCATAGACAGACCTTCCAGCAATCACTCTGTCCACTCATCGGGGTAGGGGATGTTGTGTATCTCTAATTGAGTGTTTATATTTCATTCTTTTCATTTTTTTCTTTCTCTTTCTTTCTTTCATTAGTGCAAGGCTGGTTTCCCCTCCCTTTCATAGTGTGTTCATGCATGTGTGCACTCATGTGCCACATGATATGGTGTTGAGAGATCCTCATTTTACAGGTGCTAGCTGACTACTAAAATTCATGGTCATCATCAACTTGAATATTAATAAGCTTTGCCAATTTTGCTTGCTAATCTATTTCTCTTCTGTTGCTCTAGTCAGAACAAGGCTAGTGTGTGTGGGGGTTCTTTTTTTCTTTTTTTCTTTTTTTTTAGTGATGCCAATACCTTGTTAATTAATGGTTTTATTAAAATCAACAATAATTCTCTGACACTACATTCCAGTATCACTTCATTCTGCTCAATATTCAATTCTTTTACTGCCTCTCATCAAAACTACTTCACCAGCCAATAACCATTTTGTTAGATTAACCCTATTCCGACATAAGGTTACATTTCTGGTAAATTATTTTCACAATTGAAAAAAATGTCTTGAAACTGAGACCAATATCTGGTTTCTACATTGACTTGTTTGATATTTGTATTCTCTAAGAATTTTTTTCTGCATGATAAAGTGCATCTGTAATTAGAAATGATTGCACACTTACCTGCACTTTAGAATAAGTATGGAATTTTCTTTTAATTCTATTGATTAATGGAAGAAGTTTAAATGGTAAGAAAAGCTACTATTTCCTTCTGCTAGATATTTTGATTTGTTGCCTTACTGTGACAAGGTGCCTCTTAGTCCAGAGTAACATAAAACTTGAAGGAGAGGAGTGTTTGTAAAATATTCCATAAATCTTTTCCAAGTGAATAGGCCAACACTATTGTTTTAATGAGTTTTATATTTCAAATCTGACTGAAGTGGAGATTATCTAAAAGTGTTTGCCTGTTCTGACCAATATCTATTGTAATGAAATTCTTAATTCAGCCTTTAAAGATTAACTTCTTGCAGTTTATATTGTCAGCTACACAAACTTATTTTTAATGAAGCCTAAAATTCATGACAATTGTCATTTAAGTCATAACTCTTTTTTTTTTTTTTCTTTTCATCTCAAGTTAATTTACTGGTTTGTTGGTATTTCCTGTTTGCCTAAAAATAAACCTCAAAGGGCAGGGATCATTATGGGTATTAGTCATATGTTAATTATTGAAGCTGGCATTTTGCTTCTTAAGAGTAACTGAATAGACGTAACGTTCTTGCACGTTACTGTTTGACTTTGTTGAGCAGATAATCTAGTTGGAGTTTAACAGGAAAGACTCTGCAATCCTTATACTGTTGTTAATCACTGTCTTTCAGACAATGCTAAAAACATGAATCAAGTTCTGTTGAAATTGATCCATGCATTTGGCATAAATGCTGACCATATAAAATTATTAGATTTACTTGGTTTTCTTCTAAACAATATACATTCATCATCTGTTGTAGTAGTATTAGTGGTGTCTTAGGTTTTTCATATTCAGCTAATTTACATATATGTAAAAAAAGATGGTTTAATTTAACTTTTTTTTTTTTTTTTTTTTTTTTATAGAAGTGACAAATTTTCTTTTGTGGGTTTTTTGTAACTTTATGGTGCTAACCTTTCATTTTTGGGTTGTCTAAAATTTGTACATCAAATATTTCTGTAAAAACAATTCTATTTCTCTTTTTAAATAGATCAGTATATGTATGCCATGACAGAATTATTAGGTGTTAATTGGATGAGAATTAATCCTACAAATTTAAATGTATCTACCTAAAAACTAATGTCTAAAAAGATTACCTGAATATTTACCAAAGCAATAAGTAAAATTCCACTTTTTAAGACATTTTTATGAATAAACAAATAAAACTATCAAATTGTATGTATGTAATGTTCCTTTTGTTTGAACACTTTTTCTGTAAATTTTGAAACGACCTGTGAAGATGATGGGGGGGGGATTAATCACGAGTGCTCGTGCATTATAAACCACAGTTCCGTTTGTACCAACCTCGTGTTTGCTGTGTGTTATTAAGGCAAGATTCTCATTGGTCAGTCATAACCCAAAAAAAATTGAAAATAACAAAGTTCTGTCTGTTTTTTTTGTTTTTTTTTTTTTTTTTTTTTTTTTATCAATAGCTGACGAAGCTTTAATAAAAGGGAAACATATTAGGCTAAATTTTTGTTTATATTATCCTGTTGGAAAACTTGCACCTGAAGATTGCAAATAGCATGAAACTCAAAGGTGAGCATTTAACATATAGGGTATTATGTATATTTTTAATATATTAAATGGCTTTGTTTAACATGGAGCACTGTTTATTCTTACACTATAGTGTGTGTGTGTGTGTGTATATCAGAGGTGGGCAGTTTAACTGAAAAACTGAATTTTTTTTTGGTTTCATCTTCACTGTGAAACTGTATCCAAATTTTTTATGGAACTGATAGCACAGGCTCTGGTCAACAATTGATTGAGCATCAGGTCTTCCATTCTGGATGATGCGCTGAGTATCTGCTTAACATGACTAGGCAATCCAGACACGAAGGAACATGTCATCCATTGTTCATAATCGCACCGCTTCCTGAAGAATGGATGACATGTGCCTTCGTGTCTGGATTGCCTAGAGACAAAGTAAATGCCGAAATAGCTTGTAATAAAGAAGAAAAGACTGTCAACTGATAGTAGCAACTGCAATAGATTTGTCGTTTCTACGGTGTGTGTCCGACTGTTACGTCGGACTATCGTGTGAACTGCGATTTGGCTACAAGTGTTGCGGCCAAGAAACAAATCTATTGCAGTTGCTACTATCAGTTGACAGTCTTTTCGTTACTACAACAGGAACTGAAGTCATTTGGAAATAAATGTGGTATCTACTTGTTTACAAAGAAAAAATGAAAAAGGAAATGTCTAAAATCTAGGAAATGCACCTAAATTAGATATTAAGAATAATTAAAATAGTTAATTTCACTTTTAAAATTTGTATATTTCCAGATATGTGAGTCTGTGTTAAAAAAAAAAAGAAGTTTTCTACAAAATGAAATTGTCTATCTAGCAAATACACCTAAAATTAGATATTAAAACAAATAAAGTTTGTTTTAATCTGTTTAAAATGTGAATATTTTCAAAATTTCAAGTCGCCTTTTCTTTTTTTTTTTTTTTTTTTTTTTTTTTTTTTTTTTTTTTATAATCCAAATTAAAATAATTGATTCTTTTTTAGCCACTAATGTTCGGTTGGTGTTCTGCCTATAAATTCTTCTAAACAAGGGAAATTAATTCATTTTATTTTTTGGTTTTACCTGTCAAATACACTTAAAATTATATTAAAATGATTGAAACAGTTTTTAATTTCAGTTTTAAAATGTGTATCTAAAAAAAGAACAAGTGATACTTGCAGATTTGGAAATCTAAACATTCTAAAAATGAAATTAAAAGCTTTTATTTTTAATATTTTAGGTGTATTCACTAAATAAAAACATAAATTTATTTGGGAGGGGGAAAACAACTCATTGATTTTCCTTGTTTGAAAGAAATTTATTTGCAAAACCCCAATAACAGTTAACTGGTGTACCAGAAAAGAATTACCATATTTTTGATTAATTTAAACATTCATTGTTTGGCTTTTTAAAAGCCACATCATAAACTAATTTCTGGAGAGCTGTACCATTTTCTCTCTCAAAATGTGTTGTCCAAAGACTAATATGGATAGTTTATGCGATGATTTCTTTTGTATTTTGACAATTTGTTAAATGAATATGGTGGTTATCTATATAGTTGACAATTTATTTGAAAGTTTAATAAATAAACTTTAATTGAAAACAAGTGTCTGTCAGTGCCAGACAATAGTTTCAATAATTTGAAAGTTCTTTTACCACACATTTATTTATTACTATCAGTCCCTTACCACCCCACCCCCTTTTTTCTGCTGCTGCTTGCTTTATAATCTTTGAGGGAATTCATTTCCAGGTCAGAGAAGAAATGAACATCTACCTGGTTGTAGTTTAAGGTGTCTTCTAGTTGAGTGTACAATTTGAAGAATATTGATAAAGATTGGTCACTTTGATTTTTTGCAAAACAAAGTAATGTGTAAAATTTAGTCCCAAAGAAGAAAAAATTTTCATTTTCAGCACATACAAATTACATATTTAGAAAGATTTTCTTTCCAGCCATATGAATATTTTTTAAGATTGGACCAGAAATACACAAATTGTGAGTTGAACAGACTGTTGCAAATTATCAACTTAAACGAAAGATTTCAACTGGAAATGCTATCATTACACAAGAAAATGAACAGCTTCCTGAGAAAGCAAAAATATTAAATTAAAAACCGAAGTATCAAGGGAAATAAATAAATAAACCGAGACATAAATTGCCAAACCGACCAACACACACACACACACACACAGTATAAAGCCATCATCCACATAAATCAGCTTCGATTTAAAAAGTAAAAGATCTTGTTACAATTATACCCCCTCCTTTTTTTACCATCTGCTAACACAAAAATTAATTATTGCTTAAAAATAGTAATGTGTTGCTATATTAGAAAATGAAATAATTATTGATATTTGTGCTAATGTTGTTGGCCCTTTAGCCTAATCTTGTTACTGGCTTTTCTACTTCTTTTCCTGGTGGAATTCATTGTGGTAAGCAGTGCCATGCTAGAACTTAGTAATTGAATGATTTCAGATTCTATCTCATCTCTTTAATTACTTAGCTAAAATCACAAGTGTGAATCTCATGACTCATTCAATCTCATTCTGTTGTCTTTGTATAAAATTACAAAACAACGTTTCTTTTTGTTTTTTAATCCCAATATTAATTCTATTTATTTTTTTTTATTCTTTTCAGGTGTGAGCTGTGATTCCTGTTTGAAGGGCAACTTTCGTGGCAAAAGATACAAATGTCTTGTCTGCTATGATTATGATCTCTGTGCAAATTGTTATGAGGCAGGTGCAACTACAACCAGACACTCTAATGATCACCCAGTCCAGTGTATACTGACGAAGGCTGATTTTGGTAAGATTCAATGTTCTCGACACTTTATCAACTTTAGAGATTTTATTTTAAATACATAAGGAAAATTAGTTACATCTTATTTTAAAGGATCTACTATTAATTCATATTCATCAATGTCACCAATCACCCAGCCAAGTTGATCAAGTCTTTATTAGAAAGGTTGCCATGAGTGAATAGTGGGTGTGCTGCAATGTCAATTTAAGTGGGATTTTAAAATGTGATAATAAATATCCAAAATCCTTTTAAGTATTGAAGTCTTTGGAAAGTAAATGAAAACTCAAAAGATGCATGTTGGATAATAAGGAAAAACTCTTGTCCAAACCTCACGAGTGGAACTGAAGAAAATTGCAAATCTTTGCTTTGATTTTATGAGACAGTAATCTAGAGAATATTATTTCTTTACCCAATGGAAAAAAGGGTTTCTTTGTTGTGACCAAATCATAAAATTTAAATATTTACTCTCTGGAATCTGTAGAACTTTAGTAATATACATATATATCACTAAGTTTAATTTTTGAGAGTTGACAATTATTTTTATTTTTCTAAATCTCCCTGCTTTGAATGGTGAAGATTTTCTTTTTTCTCTTCCATATATGCAAATATATGAGAAGATGCTGAAAAGTTGTTACTCTAGCCAAGATGCTTTTCCTTATTTAAAAAAAAAAAAATCTATTCAGTCATTTCATCAAGAAGTGTGTTGAGCAGAATTTTTTCAGCAACCCTGTGTGTTTAAGGACAGGGTTCATTTGTAGCAAGGGGACCAGGTAAAGGAGTAATTAGTTTGAAGATGTAGATATGACACAAGGCTGAAAAAAATATATATATACACACACACACTTTAATAAAACCAAGCTGCCTTTTATGTAATTATAATAAAGATATATTTGTCAATTTTGTTAGACTGGTGGGGGGGGGGGGTTAATTTATAAAATAAAAAAAAAACCTGCTCTAGATAGAAATTAAAGTGCTCCTCCTATATATATATATATATATATTATATAACCAGATTATCCGTATACTCCTGAAGAGAACAGAGGCTTGCAGGAACATTAATACAGTATTTAAGTAACTTTAGATATATATTTAGGGCGTGGTGTCACAAGTCTCACCTGTCGACCAGTTGTATGCACATTTATTTTCTACCTTAATCTGTGAGTTTGTCAGAAAATTAAAATGTCAACCCTGTTGTTGCTATCTATCTAATATTTTTTTTATATCAAATTGCATCCGAGTGAAGTCTGAATATGTTTGCTATTTCTGTCAATACTGGATTAGTAGAGTGAATTCTCTTGCCAATGGGATTCAATTATGGCCAGCTTATGAATTTTAAGCTATATCAATCCAATCATCAAATTGGGGGTAATTTAGCTTTTTTTTTTTTTTTTTTTTTTTTTTTTTTTTTTTTTCCTCCAGTATATCTTCTTCATAATCAGGAGTTTTAATACAAAAAGATTTTTTAGCAGATTTCTATGAATATGCTTAATAAAATTTCCTTGTGTGTGTTTTCAATTAATCTTTTCTTGCCTTGGCATTGTTAAAAAAAAATTGTTTTTTGCTCTTGGCATGCTTTGGCTCAGAATTGAAATATTGATTTTGACAAACCCTCATTCTCTTTTGATATCAGTTTGATATTGCACAGGAGATAAATTTTAAGCTAACGTGATTTATTTAAAATCTTTTTCCTCTTCTCTTTTTCTTTCTTTTTCTTTTTTTTTTTTTTTTTTAATGGCTGTTCTTATTGGTGGTTGACTATATCTATTGTTTTTTGTTCACTTTGATTGTATATACCTTTTCTTTTTCTTTTTTTTTCTCCATTAAAAATACTAAATTTAAAAATAGATGTTTTTTTTTTTTTTTTTTTTTTATTCTTTAAATTGACATTTAAAAGTAACTGTTGAATATGTTATTCCAAAAGAAAATTCCTTTTCAGTAGATATCCCAAACTAAAATTTTATTTTCAATATATTTAAAAAAAAAAAAAAAAATCTCTAGAGAATTTGACAAAACAAGAAATTGTACCAAATTTTCCAGTGTCACACTATTGGACCAGAAGCTTATTTTGACACTGTATTACTGAAGATACAGGCTTCAAACAAGTTAAAAATCATTATAAATGTAATGTCATATAAGTAGTCTTGGAGTAAAAGAAATATATAATACTAATGGAATCGATAATTATTAGATGAGATCAGACTAGCCTAAACATTGGTGAAAAATAGCGTTCTCAAAAACAAAATACTATATATACTCACATATCATGTGACCTTTTTTAAAGACTTAATTTTGAAGCTAATTTGACTATAGTAAATAGATGTATAGTTTGGTCAACAGTGTAGCCAGGGCCAGCAGTACATACACTAATTTCATATCTTGTGTATGATGTGACCCCCCCCCCTAAAATTTATCTTCAAAAGTCACATGATATGCAAGTACATACAGTAGTTAAAACATGACACAGAAGGGCACTTTTGACTATTCATATGTTTCATTCCAACAATTAAAAACAGCCAGAAATGCAATTTAACAGACAAAAATGGCAAATATTTACCATCCTGAACTTGCCATTAAAAAAAATATGAATGGAGGTGTGTACCTGAAACTTTACTAATTTTTGAGATGTGAAGTGATGCAATTTTTCCCTTATCAAAAAGGGACAGTAATGACTACAAAACTTAGAAATTTGTTTCATGAATTGAATCATTTTTTCAATTCTTCAAACAAATGCTTATTTGTAAAGTTTTAAGCTTCAAACTAAAAACACTGAAATGAATAAAAATACATTTATTGGAATTGATTATTTTCTGGTCATTTGGAATGGCCCTCCTGCATTTTCTCTTCCATAAGCCTCTGCCAAAGCCAATATTTCTGGAACACTCCATATCCTATCATCCCATGACAGGAGTGTTATATCAAAGTCCCATCTAAAAAATAAATGTTGACGTCGCTTAATATCATCCAAGAAAAGCCATCAAAAATGATCATTTCTGCTTTTAGTTGTAACTAAAAAAAATTTATTACTGCACTGGACAAGTATGTAATACCAATGACTTGCATCCCATTGGACTTAGTGTTCATAACTGAGGGTTATTTGGAGTGGTTCTTCTTCTTTGTCACAAATGCTTTAGTTGTTTGAATATTTGGATTCATGGAGTGCCTTCTTTTTTTTTCTCTCTCTCTCTTTATATCAGTGAAAATGTCTATTCCCTTCATGAGAGATTTTAAATTTATCAGCCCACATTGCAAGGAATTTGATAGATTTTTTTTTTTTTTTTTTAAACTTCTGAAAAAAAGACCTACTCCTGAAAATAATCATCAGAAAAATAAAAGGAAACTGATTACATTTTTGAAAATTACCTAATTACATTTCAATTTTTTGTGTCCTTGAGCCAAAGTTAAACTTATCCAGTCCATTTCTTAACTTTTTTTTTTTTCTTTTTTTTTGAAAAGAACATGTAAATAAATTTTCTGTCTTAGACCCAAAATCCATAGAATCATAGAAAATATTTCCAGTCACAAATAACTGGAAAGAAATGAATGGCCATTAAAATGAAAATTTGGACACTTTTATTTTCATATTTTTACAAACACGTGTGAAATTTAAATAATTAATATATTTAGTTCATATATTTATTTTCTCTTTTATAATATGAATTCTGCTTCATGTTTTTTAAGAAAATGCATAAAATCAACAGTTGAGGTGAAAGTGATTTGTGCATGACAATTTCAACAAAATACTGAATAAATATTTTATGCTGTTTTAAAATGCATCATTAAAGAAAAAAAATAAGAGAAAGACTTAAATTGTGATATTCATCAATGCAACAAGTTTTATTTAAAATGAAATTCAACTGGTTATGTTCATTCACTCAGTCAGCAATACAAATCTTGTTGGACCCAACAGTTTTGCACAAAATGAACCCAGAATGTACCCTCTTTTTGATTCACATGCACCTCTAGTTGTATCAGCAGATATTTGAAATCAACTGAATTTTGCTCTACAAGTTGTAAACATTTTTTATTGAATTTCTCTGGTTTTTCATTCACTAAAGTTTTCAACTTAGAAATTCTTTTTGCAAAAGACAGCTTCAGAGCTTGTGGTTAGTCCACGAAATTAACAATCTTTTTTCTTTTTAATGGCACTATTTTTTGATATGTATATGGAGACAATATCATATGCAAAAAATTCGAAAAACTCTATGGGATTGTCCACTTTGAAAATATGGGAAAGCACTCTCCGTCATTGAAATAATCATCACACACAAAGGGTTGTATCTTTTAGAAAGAGAAAAGATTAAATTTTGTTTATATACTAATTTTATCAAAATAGCTTCAAAAATATATCAGCATTTGGAAGGAAATTTCACTAATTCAAAATGGTTTTACACTTTGAACTAGTTCAGTTTAGGATACCTGTTGTCATTGTTACATTCATGGATCCACTTTTGGTTTCTGTTTCAGAATTGTATTATGGGGGAGAAGCATTGCCTGCCGAGCAGGCACAGTCTTTCACTTGTCCATATTGTGGCAAAATGGGGTTTACGGAAGTAACTTTACAGGAGCATGTCACATCAGAGCATGCAGATGCCTCTACAGAAGTAGTAAGTATATAGTGCCTTTTTCAATTCTCTTAATGAAATGTCCATGTTCAAAATCAGTTGACTGCGTGCTTTGGTCAAGAAAAATGAAAGAAAAATATATAGATGTGAGGGGTGAGTTTGGATTTAGTAAAGAAAATATTAGGATGACCAAAAAAGTTCTTATTAATTTAAGGTCACTTTTAACACCAGTAACTTTAAATATGATTAGCCAATGATATAGTAATACTAACATCCAGTGTTTTCTTTTGTCTTTCTTTGTTCAAAGACACTGAACTTCCACTATTTGATACAGAATGAATTCTTGTATTCTGATTAAAAATTATATCAAATCTTTTTAATTGAAACCAACAGAAAATATAAAGGCATAAAATTTTCCATCTTGCCATTACCAACTTAAATGTTGATCACTTGTAAATAATTTCTATTTCAGGTTTGTCCAATATGTGCTGCATTGCCTGGTGGGGATCCTAACCATGTGACCGATGATTTTTCTGCACATCTCACATTAGAACATAGAACATCAAGGGAATTCATATCCTTTTTTTTTTTTTTTTTTTTTTTTTTTGGCTTTGCTTTCCACGATTGTTATTCATTTTTGAAAAAATGCATCCATTGATTTATAATTTTAAATTAAAGAAAATTATTGCTACTATAACTGAATCTTTTTTCACAATTCCCTTAGAGCCTGGTGCCACTGCCTGGTCATTTCACTGCATCAGTTGATCTTCTCACCCATGTGTTTAGGTATTCAATTTAAGGAAACTGGTTAATGACTATCAGAAACAAGTCTTTGTTAGTGTCAGCGTTATTCACTTGTAACAAAAACGGAAATGCCACTGACTAGTGACCAGTTCAACAATTCAGACAGGTAACTTTAGTCTTGGGCTTGCAGACAAAATTGGTTTCTAACTCCAATTCTTGAACATTCTTAGGCAAAAGAAAATCTCCTAATTGATCAAATTCTTCTTGGTAGTATTCTTGCAGGGTGATGAAATAGTGACAAGAGGTAGTACCAGGTCTACATTTAGTAACCTTTTCACAGTCCCCTCTCAGTCACTTGTAATTCACCCTATTGAGAAAATTACAACCATAAGAATTCCCATTCCACACCAACAACTGTTACATCTTAGATTTTGTTTAAGATGGGTCCAAAGGTGATAATATTTTTTTGTTTGTATCTCGTCAACTTTAGAAAGCTCGATATGCTGTTTGACCTTTTTAAGCATTAATAGTAATATCTTAAGCACTCTTTAATCTTGGCAAGAAATGATTTAAACCTGAAGATTTCTCCTCCAAAAACTTACTGAAGTGGATGAAAATAATCCTATATATATTGCTTGTATGTTCATGAGCTTCTTGTTTGTTGTAAATTTTAAGAACCCCAATTTCTAATAACTGTTTGCTTCTGCATTTTCTGTATAAAAGTTGAGGCCTACACACTAGAATGGCCTATAACAGATTTTTTTTTTCCTTAACTCTTTCTTACGAGGAACCAAGTGGGATCAGGCATGTCAGGCGAATACCTCATCCAGCACGGGGCGTTGGAAGCACTCGTTCTAGGAGAGCTAACATGCACATACCACCCGGAGGATCTACTTTATCAGGGCTTTCACCTAATGGCAGAGAATCAATGGATCCTATAGCAGGTGGGTAACTTTGGCTTCTTTGGAAAGTTTTTGCTTCTAATTTAACTTCCATTCCACCTCCATTGGAATCTTTTTCATCAATCAGTGCATCCATTTCTCTGTTGCCTTTTTTTTCTTCTTTCTTTTTTTTTTTTTCTTTCTGAAGAACTTTTGAATGTTTACCAATCCCTCATTTACTTTATTTTGTTTCGTTAAGAGTGGCTCTAAATTATAATTCCGTTTTGCTTAATATTAATGATAATTGGATGTATTTACATAGTTTGGATTATTGTCATCATATTCATGTTTCAGCCATTGTACACTATAGCCTTCTTAACGTGATATGTTAGAATTTCAACCCAAACCCTTCATTTTGTCCAAAGGGTTAGATGGTTCTAGCTCCATGCTTTTGTGGATGTCTCAGTTTCAGTTAATTCCCTTTAGTATCTCAACTTTGTGTACACCTCTGCTGCTACTCTTTGGGTCAAGTCACTGCCATGAACTAAATAAAAGGGTTCAGTTCAAAATCTAAAAAGGGTTCAACGTATATCACCTGAAGAAGGCAAGAACATACAACGGTCAAAACGTTGTGAATATGGCAATAAAGATGAGGGCAATAATCTGAACAATGTAATTAATGTCAATAGTTACAATACCTCATCTCAGAAACATAAACAGATGATGATTGGCTGTGTTTAATCTAAAATGAGACCAAAGTGTGGTGATGCTTTTTATGGGAATAAAAATACACACACACTTATGAACACTTATGACTTTTTATATAAATAAATATATAAATTCGGAATTATTCCCTATGAAAATGCATATTCCAATTCTCAAATGGTCGATCATTTGAGATATTTGTAAAGTTCAAAAACTCTCTCCTGAGGGACTTTTTGATGTTGACAAGTGCAGAGCGAGCAACTATTTTCTGGATGTGAGTGATGTCAAGACCAGCCAGTAATAATTCAAATCTGAGATTTTGGCATTGACCTTTTAATCTACCATTGTCATCTAATTGGAATGGCATTTTAATAAAAGAAACATTATTAACTGCTCATGTGAAACTCTGAAAGACATTTGGCAAGTGTTAACTTTTCATAAATGCTTTCATCGTGACTTAGTTACAAAAAGTTTCATTTTTAAATATAAAGAATATCAACCTAACAATGAAAAGATTTTTTTTTTTTTTTCCTAAGTAAAATTAGAAATACCAATTGTCAAATTGATTAATAAAAAATATTCTAATTGTAAACTATTTGATTTTTAAAGTTTATAAAGTATAATGAAGCTAAACATTGAAAGTTAAAGGCCTTTGGCCACAACTGCTTTAAATCGTTATGGTATGTGTATCTAAAATCAAACAACTACAGAAATTTAAATATCTGGGAAGTGTTCTAACAGGACAGAAAGTGCAACACTGAGATCCAAAGACTTATTGGGATAGCTAAAGATGTATTCCAAAAGCTAAACAGTGTGTTAAGAGACAAAGATTTTGTTAGAAACAAAGAAAAGAGTACTGAACTGTTATGTGATATCTGTCCTTCTGTATGGCAACGAATGCTGGACACTCATCAAAATGAAGAGACTCTGAGCAACAGAAGTGTGGTTCTACAGAAAGGCGCTGAGGATACCGTGAACCAAACAGGTAAGCAACAAGATTTTGGAGGGAATGGAAGCAGAAAGGAAACTTATACTTAACATCAGGAGAAGACAGTTAAAATTTCTGGGGGTACATTATGAGGAAGGAGGGCTTGGAAAATCTGATACTCACAGGACAGATTGAGGGACAGAGGAAAGCAGCATGTAACATGAGCTTGAGCAAATGGATGGCAGAACAGGGTTTGGGAGAAATAACAAAAGGGCAACAATTAAGAGCTACAAGGGGACAGTAAAATGTGGATAGCCATGATTGCCTACTTCCTGAAGGGACACAGCACATAAAAGATAATACATGGATAAGTCAAATTTTAGCTCAAAGCTGAAATTAAATTTTCATGTCTTATTCGTCTCTCATGTCACTCGTGTTGAAAAGCAATGTACACACTGTTTAATTTAAATGTTAACTAATTTATCAAATGGTATTTTCTATTTAAAAAAGAAAAAGTTGTGTGATAATCAAATGCAAATTTTTGCAGGGAATTAGTTTCAATTACTCTTCCTCAATTACAAAAGTGCATTCAGTGCAATATCCAAGCCAATTACAGCCAGATATGAGTGCTTACAAATTTGACCAAGAAATAAGTTTTCTCCTTAATGAATATTGGTTGGTTTATTCATAAGAATTAAAAGGAATTGCTTTTGTTTTTTAAAAAGATGATCCACATCTACTTAGGATTATGTAGCTAAAAATTATTCACTTTGAAATTTAACAGCATTTCTCAAGAGTAAAGCTTGTTTAAATGATTGCAAGTTTTCTAGTAAATTCCCTAATTTGAATTTTTAATGACTCTTGTATAAAAGTTGAACTTTATTTTTTCCACCCCCCTCTCTCTCTCTCTCTCAGCTGTCATTTGCCTATCACATTTAGAATAACAACTTCTCAACTCTTTCTGCCTTATTTTGAAAGTACTAAAGGCTATCACATCCATAGTGCCCAAATAAATTGGAGTTTTACTTTTCTCTAACCCACTTGATTTTTGGTTTTAATAATTTCTGCAATGTAGAAATATTTATTCTCTCTCTCTCTTACTCTCTCTCTCTCTCTTACTCTCTCTCTCTCTCTTACTCTCTCTCTCTCTCTCTCTCTCTCTCTCTCTCTCTCTCTCTCTCTCTCTCTCTCTCTCTCTCTCTCTCTCTCTCTTACTCTCTCTCTCTCTCTCTCTCTCTCTCTCTCTCTTACTCTCTCTCTCTTACTCTCTCTCTCTTACTCTCTTACTCTCTCTCTCTTACTCTTCAAGAAGGCATTAAGTTTTGGAACAAGGCTATTCTGATTTGCCCAGGAAAGAATGAATCTGTTACACTGCACTAATGGTTTATTGGATAAGCTTGATGACAATTATGATACATTAATGTTCCTTTCTCCCTTGTAATGTGACATTAACTTGGGCATTTTGTGATGTAATGGTCAGCAAGTTGTTTTCCACACATCATTACTGTAAAGCAGTGGTTTTGATTGTTACTTGCTGCCTTGTACCAAAACAATCACTGAAATTTTTGTTGGCTACAATTATTTGGGCAATATATACACACATTTAGTTGACTTTAGGAGGATAAATCATTTATCTTCTAAGAAACTACAAAAGGCTTTAAATTTTTGCTTTAAAATCAATGCAATTTTTGTTGTTGACATAATGGTATTTTTCATGACATGTACTTAATGAGGTTTTAATCAAATTCATTATTCTGTCACCAAAAAATTGGCTGTGTTAAACTAAGATTTGTTTAAATGAGGGATTGGTCATTATTCAAGAGGAGGGGGGCATCCACTCTCCTATCAACTGCACTTTTCTTTTTGAACATTACTAAAAATGTTTTGTTATCAATTCATTCACATTTCATCTTTACCATTCCATCTTTTGAAAACCTAATATTGCTCATAACAAAATAGTACAAAATCTTTCATTTCTATATCTAACTTTAAATTCAAAACTTTTTGGACCTGTTTAGAATGTCTTGCTTTGATTCTTATGCAGATCTTGATGTGACCTTTTACTGCTGTACTTATTTTTTGCTTTGTTCTTTCTGCTTAAGGTGAAAACCCATCACATTTAAAGGATTTTGTGGTTCAAGTGTTTTGCTTATATTGCATTAAATTAAATACGTCAAATGAAACTGAAGTCAAATGAAACTGAAGTCAAATGAAACTGAAGTCAAATGAAACTGAAGTCAAATGAAACTGAAGTCAAATGAAACTGAAGTCAAATGAAACTGAAGTCAAATGAAACTGAAGTCAAATGAAACTGAAGTCAAATGAAACTGAAGTCAAATGAAACTGAAGTCAAATGAAACTGAAGTCAAATGAAACTGAAGTCAAATGAAACTGAAGTCAAATGAAACTGAAGTCAAATGAAACTGAAGTCAAATGAAACTGAAGTCAAATGAAACTGAAGTCAAATGAAACTGAAGTCAAATGAAACTGAAGTCAAATGAAACTGAAGTCAAATGAAACTGAAGTCAAATGAAACTGAAGTCAAATGAAACTGAAGTCAAATGAAACTGAAGTCAAATGAAACTGAAGTCAAATGAAACTGAAGTCAAATGAAACTGAAGTCAAATGAAACTGAAGTCAAATGAAACTGAAGTCAAATGAAACTGAAGTCAAATGAAACTGAAGTCAAATGAAACTGAAGTCAAAATGAAACTGAAGTCAAATGAAACTGAAGTCAAATGAAACTGAAGTCAAATGAAACTGAAGTCAAATGAAACTGAAGTCAAATGAAACTGAAGTCAAATGAAAAGTCAAAATGAAACTGAAGTCAAATGAAACTGAAGTCAAATGAAACTGAAGTCAAATGAAACTGAAGTCAAAATGAAACTGAAGTCAAATGAAACTGAAGTCAAAATGAAACTGAAGTCAAATGAAACTGAAGTCAAATGAAACTGAAGTCAAATGAAACTGAAGTCAAATGAAACTGAAGTCAAAATGAAACTGAAGTCAAATGAAACTGAAGTCAAATGAAACTGAAGTCAAATGAAACTGAAGTCAAATGAAACTGAAGTCAAATGAAACTGAAGTCAAATGAAACTGAAGTCAAATGAAACTGAAGTCAAATGAAACTGAAGTCAAAATGAAACTGAAGTCAAATGAAACTGAAGTCAAATGAAACTGAAGTCAAATGAAACTGAAGTCAAATGAAACTGAAGTCAAATGAAACTGAAGTCAAATGAAACTGAAGTCAAATGAAACTGAAGTCAAATGAAACTGAAGTCAAATGAAACTGAAGTCAAATGAAACTGAAGTCAAATGAAACTGAAGTCAAATGAAATGAAGTCAAAATGAAACTGAAGTCAAATGAAACTGAAGTCAAATGAAACTGAAGTCAAATGAAACTGAAGTCAAATGAAACTGAAGTCAAATGAAACTGAAGTCAAATGAAACTGAAGTCAAATGAAACTGAAGTCAAATGAAACTGAAGTCAAATGAAACTGAAGTCAAATGAAACTGAAGTCAAATGAAACTGAAGTCAAATGAAACTGAAGTCAAATGAAACTGAAGTCAAAATGAAACTGAAGTCAAATGAAACTGAAGTCAAATGAAACTGAAGTCAAATGAAACTGAAGTCAAATGAAACTGAAGTCAAATGAAACTGAAGTCAAATGAAACTGAAGTCAAATGAAACTGAAGTCAAATGAAACTGAAGTCAAATGAAACTGAAGTCAAATGAAACTGAAGTCAAATGAAACTGAAGTCAAATGAAACTGAAGTCAAAATGAAACTGAAGTCAAATGAAACTGAAGTCAAATGAAACTGAAGTCAAAATGAAACTGAAGTCAAATGAAACTGAAGTCAAATGAAACTGAAGTCAAATGAAACTGAACAAATGAAACTGAAGTCAAATGAAACTGAAGTCAAATGAAACTGAAGTCAAATGAAACTGAAGTCAAATGAAACTGAAGTCAAATGAAACTGAAGTCAAATGAAACTGAAGTCAAATGAAACTGAAGTCAAATGAAACTGAAGTCAAATGGGATGGAAGGACTTCCTAAGCAAGCTTCTCTTGATCATCTCGTCGAGAAAATTGACTCTTTACTTAAAAATCAGCAACAATATACTTTTCAATGTGGGTGTTCAGAAAGTAATAACATTTTACCAGAAAGATGTATATGAAATTAAATGTACTTACATTTATGATAAATAATATTTAACAACTGCAGCTCAAAGAAGGGGCAAATTTTTTATTCTAACTTTTAAAGAAAACTGTCTCCTTCTGAAAGACTATTTCCAATTGGTTTCTTTCTGAATGTTCTGCCACTTGTGTAATGTTCTAGTGATCAAAACAAATGAATATTTGTAGGTGGTAAACTTTTTTTTTTTCTTTACCTATAACAATGGGATACAAAAATATAAGGTTGCCATTCCTGGTTGAGAGATTGTGTTCAGCTTTCAAGCAAAAGCTTATAATGGATCCTTTTGCAAGGTTTCTTAATCGAACTTTGAAATGCATTATGACTGACACACCGTCAAATAGAAAAGATGATTTCCTATCATTCAACCCTGGTTGGTTGACCCATAAGTCATATCCATGTCAGATGTAATTCCATTGACATCAATTATATCCTAGATTTTCTTCTGTCAGGATCATTGGTTGTTCTCTCAATGAAGCTCCTCGCCTTGGTTGTTTGACTCTTAATTCATACTGATGAAAGATGTAATTAATTTCCAAACACCCAATTGAGTTGACATTTTCTTGCCTGGTTCATGTACAATATTAACATTCTGGCTCTTTCATGGATTGACAGGACAAAAGGCCAGATATATGCAGCCATTTTCCTTGTTCCATTTTGATATAACCGTTTCAAAATCAAGCATTTACAGAGAATCCTAAAATGCAGATGGCTTTTAATATTCAAAATATTGAAGACAGCAAGAGTATTAATCCATTGAATAACAGCAGCAGCAGCCACAGCCTGTGATACAAAAGTAAATAGGGGCTAACCTTTATTCGTAACTCATTTTGGATTGATTTATGACTTGTGCAAAAAAATTCAAAGGTTTTTTTGTTTTTTGTTTTTGCAATATGGCAACAAATGAATGCTTGTTCCACCAATTTCTTTGTGTGCGCGCCATACATCTTGTTGAAATATTTAAGCACTCCCCCACACCAAAGCCTTTATATATATATATATATATATATATATATATATATATATATATATATATATATAATCATTTGCAATAAGTGACAAAATTTTTTGACCAAACCTCTTCTGCCTTTCTACTTGAACTTTTCATATATTTTAGCCATTCATTTTATGAATAACCACATGCCAACCATTTTCTTTAATAAGCAGCCCACACTTGCAATCCCTCTCAAATACTAGACATGTGGCCCCACAATTCCTGTGGGCCATGTGTTGTTGCAGGTAGGTTTTAGACTGCCATTGCTGTTTTTCTTTTCTTAATTTTTCCTTCCAATCTTTCTTTGATGAGGCCAAATTTACCAATGCCTTAGATAATAACAGGTAGGCTTTGTTCACATTTCTTTCTTTGATTCTTGTTTGGCTGTTGATGCTGCACATGATTGGCTTTTTTCTTCTTTTCTGGCCTCTTTCATCGGAAATCTTCTTGGCCAGGAAACATAGATGACTACATCTGCTGGAATGTGTGTTGTATGGGGTTCTTTCCATTTTTTTTATTTATTTTTTTTTGTGAGGCGGCACCTCTATCTTCTCCCACTACAAAAAAAAAAATGATTTCTGTGTTACTCCCAGTCTTTAAAAAAAAAAGGAAAAAAACAAAACATTTTAAAAAAACAAAACATAACTGGAGAAAAGTGTCATTTTCTGGAGCTTTTGCTTTGCATTAGTTAAAAAAGAAGAAAAAAAAAATTTTCCTAACCCACACATTTATGCTTGATACATTGTCAGGGAGAGAAAATATAAACTTTCAATTATTACTAATTATATATGTCTAAATTCCCTTGCTTCTACATTTTTTTTTCTTTCCTGTCAAGACAACAGTTGGACATCAAATGAAGATGAATCTTTCTGTACTTGGTTTGAGAGATTAATCCTGCAGAACCTTTCTAATACAGTAGATGCATTTCTAGTAATTAATCTCTTGTCACTTTATAATCTGCCATTTTTATTTATGGTTTTTTTTTTTCTCTCCTCTCTTCCCACCCATTTCTATGTTTTGTCTCAACTAATGCCATATTTAGCTTTAAATTTGGAATTCTGGTTCTTTTTGTGACCAAAATCGATAATATAAAGCTATTTTCATTTATTTTCTCTTGACTCTGTAGCTTGGCACAAAAATTGTACAGCATCTTATTGATACAAGTTAGAAGTAGTCTGGAAGGTTGTATA